TACTCTTCAAGGTCAAACCTATGGTACCATCTTATGTCCCCCTCGAAACCATACAACTTTTGTCTGAAACATTTTTTCATATCTCTTTTAGTTTTTTAAAAAATCGACTGTATAAATTAAAATGGCCCACCCTGTATATGTTGTTTATAATAGTGTTTTACTATACACTTTCTCGCGAGTAATTGAAAAACCTATTGACAATGAGTAATATAAGGTTAAGAGATTTTGATACCCGATAACAAATTTTTCATGCATAAACATGTATAAAATATATATAGAATTATAAAATATATCAAATATGTACATGCATGATGTTTTTACATTGTGTATTTCTATATAAGTCTATATAATTGTTATATTAAATACTTTTTTAACACAAAGATCTGTTTATTATAGTTTCTGAAATATTAACAGAAGTAAACGTAAATCAGCAATATTGTAAATCAAATTTTCTTTAAAAAGAGTATTTCCATTTTTATAAATATTATTAGCTAACACCAAAAACTTTTATGCCATTGTATAGATGTATTAATTTTATTTTCACAAAGTTTCAGATTTTTAAGAATTTTTTGAAATTTCCGAATCTTATAAGTCAAAAATGTTTATATTTAGTCAGAGAGAAAAGTAAATTTTGCTTTACTAAGAATCTAAATCCTTTTTGAACGATTAATACAAGTTCACAAAATTTCATTAAAAAATTATATGTGTTTATGATTTCATATGTTAAAAATGATTTTAACAAAAACCACAGATAATGACCTGCTTTAGTACGTGCTTTAAGTACATAGTTTACACCGTATTTTGTTAGCGCAATCTGACTTATACCCGGACCTAAAAAGCTTTCAAATGAAACGTTTACACTAGAGCTGAAATTTTTCTTCGAAGATTTTCAATTTCGAAGCTTCGAATCTTCGAAGATTCGAAGCTTCGTAGAAATTATTCGAGAATTGAAGTTTTCGAATTTTTCGAAGATTCGAAGTTTCGAAGTTTCGAATTTTCGAAGTTTCGAATATTCGAAGTCAACTAATGTATTAACAGGATAAAAAACAATAACACATTTTGTAAAATTAATCGTTTTTACTATAACTGTGAACTAATTAAATGCCAACTAATTAATATCATTACAAGTATAAAAAAACAAATGTTCTTTTTGTCGGACACATTTTTGTCCATAAATTTTCTATCATTAACATTTTATCTTATTAACTATTTCTTTTTACTGCCTGATACAGATGATAGATACAGATGATAAATTAGGTTGGTTTTTGAAAGCTTATATCTTAATGCATTAGTTGACTTCGAATATTCGAAACTTCGAAACTTCGAAAATTCGATATTCGAAGTTTCTTCGTTTCTTCGGATACTTCGAAGCTTCGCAACTTCGAAGCTTCGAATAATTAAGACCACTAGTTTACACCTATAATACTTTCAGGTCGAATATAGCACATACATATAACATGGGTAAAAATTAAATCCAAACGTGAACACCTTCGGTTGAACGTCATCTCTTGAAATTTGTGAAATTTTAGGCCATCTGCGTTTACATGCGTTACATTATATATATCGCGCGACCAACGTCAAGCTAGGGCAAGAGAAAAAGAGACCTGACCCAAGCCAGGTTGACTCGCCTATCAATTGTTTACATCGTCACGACCTATCGTGAATAGGTCAAATATAAGGTACAGGTAACGACCTAACGCACGGTGTAAACTTATATGCCAATTTAAACGCCTACAGTTAAACGTTATCTCTTTAAATTTGAGCAATTTTAGACCACCTGCGTTTATCTGATCGATTATATGACCAAAGTCAGATCAGGGCAAGCGAAAAGGAGACCTGATCCAAGCTAAATCAAATCGTTTATTAATTGTTAACACCGTCCAAATGTATTGCCTATACCTAAACCCACGGTGTAAACTAACAATAAGCCATGAAAGCATTCAATCCCAGCGAGAAATGACTCATCGATCGATGTCGAATCGACGTCATTACGTCAATTTGACGGTATCGATGTCAATTCGACGTCTAAGAATCTAAATCCTGTGTAAATGTATATTTTTCTTCAAGTGTATCAAACTAACAATAAGGTTCAAAGCACAAAGTAACGTAATAGCTTACATCCCACCATATTACTGATTTACAATTATTTTTGTTAATATTTCAGAAACTATAATAAACAGATCTTTTGTGTTAAAAAAGTATTTAATATAAAAATTATACAGAATTGTAAACAATGTCGAATTGACATCGATCGACGAATCATTTCTCACTGGGATAGCACCAGCGTTCAGTTCGCGGCAGTGGAAACGTTTCGCTAAAAATCTGACTAGGGTGCCTATCATGAAAATATTCGGAATGGATTCCGATCGGAAACAATTTCGAACATTTCTATGATAAGTAGGCACTGATCTGCTTTAAAATGAATTAGTGTATAAACAGGGACGTATCAGTTTAATCCGCTTTATGTGCGTGCCATCTAATTTAACGATGTAAACTGTATCACTGATCTTTTCGTACTATTCTGTCTATTTTTTGGAATTCCAAAATATTCGAATTATTCTTGGGCGCAAAAAATCGCCTCCTTTTTAACATTGTTTTTCGAAGTAATCATCATTACTGTATGTACTTTCGTATTTTTATTATAGGTCGCTGTTCGTATTCGACCTTTGGCTCCGAATGAAAGCGGTACCAGATCTTTGCATGCTATTAACGAGAAGGTAAATCCACAAAGTCAATTTATTTACTTGCTAATTTAGGGTCAGAGCACAAAGCGACCTAAGGCAGCTAATTTAGTTGCTCTCTGCCATCAGCCTAACTTGTGAAAATATTTCGTCCATGAATTCGCAGATGGTAATGCTGGAGGATCAGGATGGTGATAAGCAAAAACGCGCAGTGCCGCGACAATATCTCTACGATATGGTTTTTGGAGAGGCTTCGACACAAGTAAATTAATTACTCATTCCAAATCGATGTTGTTAAACTATGTATTTTTTGTTATACAGCTTGATATATTTTTTATACATCTCCCAATTTATTTCAAATATATTATATATTATACTACAGGTGGAGGTCTATGAAGGTACAACCAAAAATTTAGTACAGGATGTTCTCAATGGTTACAATGCGACCGTGTTCGCGTATGGCGCAACAGGCTCAGGAAAAACACATACGATGGTTGGAACATCGTCAAATCCCGGAATTATGGTTCGTGCCCTAAACGACATTTTCCTAGCGGCTAAAAAATTACGAGACAACATGGAATTTACTGTAAGTTCCTAAAAAAATATATATTTTTCTAAATTATTTCTTTTTCGAATTCTATTATAGTTTTCTATTTACGTTGAACGTAGATTCCGCTCTACTTTTGCTGACAATCTATGTATCAGACTGTATAGCAAGTATATTGGAGTCTGCTTGATT